GTTTAAATTTGTAATTATTAATGAAAGTTGATTCAAAATTTTCCATAAATAAATTACTAAAAAATGGGGATAGTGGTGACCCCATAGTCATTCCATTCCATTTTGTTGATAAAAATTGTTTCTGATGGTTAAAGCGTGATAAAAATCACTAAAAATTTGCGTTTCAATTAATGGAAAACGCAATAATTTAAAATAAATTTCTACCGGCAACAATCAAGCAAAAACTAGTTTTCAAAATTGTGCAGTTTTGGATGACATGGTCATTATCTCTTTAACGGGTAAAAAACATAATAATGGGGTCGCAAGTGTTAACACAAACGCGTACTGAAAGATACATATTTTCAACAGAACTTTGTCGTAAACCCATAATAAGAATTTCCATATGGTGAAACGTGTCGATTATTTCAAAGCGAGCCATGTAACCAGGCTTTAATTAAAACCGAAATCACTTTCCGGAAGTTCAAAACACGAGCAAGTGTATCACCACAGTTGAGTGAATTTTATTACCTTTCAGGGTACGCACACAAGGACGTGTGTTGCTGATTATGCAAAAGATGTGTTGTTACATTTAACTGAACTTGTCTTTTTCTGTACGATTGGTAATCTCGCTAATTGCGCGCTGTCTTCTCCATTGAATGTGAATTAGCTGCGACTGTTTATATTGCTATTTATGTGTTCTTCCAAACGTGCTGCTTTCGATCACTATTAATTTGCATTGCTTGTAGTGCAGGGAAAAGCAATAAATTTATATTGTTAGTTATGGTCTTAAATGATGGCTCTTAGATGAAACAGATAACAGAATGAAGCAGCACCGACAAAATAATTTTTAAACATTGATAGCACAGCTAGAAACTGCCATGGAAAAGGAAAGGTCGAAATGAGTGGCTGTTTTGGCAAAATCTAATTTATTATTAATAGAAACATGGAACCAAGCACACAGTTGTACCTACTAACGACGATAGCAGCTTTAAACCAATAGGCAACACCAACATTTTTTTGAAAAATTCAAAATAAATGAGGCAAAACACGTTAATTATCCAACACTAACTCCAATTAATTTCGCAATAATTTTGAATCAAAGAACACAATAGGCGCCAGTTGGTGGCAGACGTATGATTTGCGATAAAATCCACCTGGCTTTGTGTTTAATTTTTAAGTAATTTTTGAACGCAATTTTTGCAATACTGTCTTGTAATTAGGCGGCGGCAAGGTTGTGACCCAAATGGGGACGAAAAGCGACAAATCGTATCACAGCCATGAAATCATTATTGAGAAACCACTTCATAAAGTCTTCAGTGGTCGGAAGGCGGTGTAGGACGTTTTTGATATTTTTGTGGTCACGCAAAAAAAATATAAATCATCATTTTAGAGCAATCAGTTTCGAAATAATCGAATCATTTGAATCTTTCCGATCCAAAGCTGATTTTGATGTTGTTTTTGAACGTTAATACCTGATTTTTTTACTGTCTTACTGAGTAACGTTTCCCTAAGAGAATGGAACAAATATAAATTCCATTTTCAAGAACTGTTAGTTATTGGCCATAAAATTATGGTGGGTGATTGGTACTGTTTATTGCACCTATTTTAATTGATTTGTGTATATGATGTCGAAGGCTTTCACGAATAAGGAATTATGACTATGAGAGTATTACGATTAGCGACAGACGTTGAATAGTTATGCAATAATAAATCGTTGGGCAGCAAAATATTTAAATTTATCAAAATTTACTTACACGAAATCCAAATATTTTTACGCCTTAATAATATATTCCATATAAAAATCAGTCAGTCTTAAATAACTTTTTATGCTTTTTATTAATTTTTTCTGTTGACCTACTACTTTTTAACTTTTTGTATCGTGTGAGAATTATGTGAAAGAATGTTATGTGGGCGAGGAATAATATACAATTCGAAAAATGTACAGTTAAAATTTATGTTATATTATTTATAGAATTGATTGCATACTTTTTTCATTCAGTTTTTTGGTATTTTTAACTGATATTGTATTTGAGACAAAAAAATAAAATCAGAAATTAGTAAACTCGATTGAAAAATTAAAATTCACTCTATGTGATCACAAGAATATAAACGAAACATTTTGCTATGCGAAAAATATGTTTGTTTTTATTTCTTCATTTGAATCGTAACTTTATAAAGTATTCTTACTCACTCCCTTACCAAAACAATAGATGTATTTTACAAACTTCTTTTTGGGTATTTTGCATCAAAAATAAAAAAAAAAGAAAAGAAAAATAAAGAAAAAAATAACAAAATAATAAAATAACCAAATTAAATTTCCATCAAAATTATTAATTAACATTACCTTCACTAATTTAAACAATGAGATTAAATCAAAGCCACATAACTGACAATTTGCATAGACGAATTATCAGAGCGAATTTTCATATACTGTATTATCCTACTATTGTTACACAATTTATTAACATACTCTTTTTTAGGTTCATTTAGGTTCTTTTGATAACGATAGCAGAAAATAGCTATCGAAACATCAAGGTAATTTTTCAAATTAATTTCTTTACTAATTGGAATTTTCTCTTACAGCTTGAGCCTAAGTGTGTCGCAGGATACCCTCTAGGTGATAGTTCTTGATTACTTTTTGATAAATAATTCGTTCTTATTGCGAAATAGGAGCACTATTTATCAATCTGTAATAAAAAAAACAACAATTTTTGATGCGAAATACCTAAAAAGAAGTTTGTAAAAAAATGATTCCGCCTCAACATTATAGAAGTTATCTAATAGATGTTTCGTATTTTGTATATAATTATAAAATAAAGTAATTTTATTAAACGTTAAATTATAAATCTGCTTAGAAATCTAAAAGCACTTTGAGTTACTCGTTATCGTTAATATTCCCGAATTTATTTGTAGGCACCAATTCTGCTTTCCATTGTATTTTCATGCATTGAAATTTGTTTACTCACTTTAACTGTAAAAATAAAGGAAAATGTTGCTTCATAAAATTAAGTCAAAAATTCATCAAGCTGCAGGTTGATTTTTATTTCTAACCGGTAAAAGATGCCTGTCATGGTTCCGAAGTTAGTCGGCATTTCGATCTGCGTAAACATCAGAACCAAAGCCATAACGACACTTAGTGGAACAAAATTAATTTAGTATTTGCTTTGTTTATGTTTTTATTCACTGCTTCTACATGCCACTCTTTCTCTTCTGCGTTAACTAAATGCATTTAAAGGAGGTAAAAATAGACAACTTATATGTACAGAATTTCACGACTGCGTAAGCCAAGCAAATGAAGAAGTAAACAAACAAGAAAGCGAAACATAAAATTGCTTAGTCAAATTTAAGTATATATTTATTTTTGGCGATAACAATTTCTATATTTTTGTAAATTAAATGTCGTATGTGCTGCAAAATATACTCTACATTTTCAAGTAAAAATTTAATAAATGATTTCTTGCTTTTAGGCATTTCATTTCATTATTGGGCAATTTTGAAAACTTAACTGCTAGTTTTGTTTTATTTTCCTGGTATTTCATATTCTCTTGAATCCTGTTTGATAGACTAAACTGAAATCAGTCTTCTAATAATAACTAATTTTTAACTGGAAATACTTTATTTTGTACTTACACTCCTAATATGACTGGCAATTTTAAATTTTTACAACGCCTTTTGATTGCTTTCATTTAATCTTTCATATTTGAAAAAACATTCATCTCTTATTCAAATAAATTCGTGAACTGCTTGAAATTCAAATTGAAAATTTTTCTTTATATCTTCTTCATTATTCTTCGAAGAGAGTGTGTTTTGGAGCGGAAAATGCAATTGTGTCTGCCCATAGTGAAAATCTACACGCTTTGCTGTCTTGCACTTGAATTGTTTATAACCATTGTTAATGGGGAGTTTTGGGAGTGATTTCTAAATCAGATAACGGAGAAATGTATTTTGGTCTAATTTGTATTGCTACTCCAAAAGCGTTCTTAAATTTCTCGAAATATGGACAACAATCATGGAAACAATTCAATGAAATATCTGAAAATATTTAATTTGCTGCAGCGATTTTCTAATAAATTCTCCAAAATCATCTCTAGGAAAACAATTTTGGTTTCAGTTATTGAGGCATCGCCTTTGTCGCTTCAAGTAAATCATCAAAATGAAGAAAATAATTTTGAAAAACAGAAACCATCATCCATGCAAAAACTGATACTCAATGTGGCGACTATTGCAATACACTTTCCAGCATTGCGCTGTGTATACAAATGCACTTCTTGTTTATGTATTTTCATGTCATTATGTCCAACGAGTATGGTGGATTGGGTTATTTAGTATAAAAGCAAGGAATGGATGCTTCCAAGCCAGTAAGGTTCATTCTGTGCTTCCATTAAACGAACTAGATCGAAATGTTCGCAAAGGTTTGTCCTGATAACTAATTTATATTGGTGGCATTTATTTTATTTTTATCTTTGTAAAGGTTTATTTAAAGGGAAAATAAATTTCTTCAAAAATACCAACAAGGTTTCATATATTTTTTAATATTTTCTCGTTGTTAGGAAAATTGTATTTTCTTCTATTTTCTCGCTTTTAAAAGTATTGCAGTTTTTGTTGGAATTTGCGCATTCTCGTCGCTCGCTAATTTGCGAAAACGATTTGTGGAATTATTTTTTTAGAAGTAGAAGTTAACACAATTTTTAAAATTTTTAATTTCGGTCTTCAAATTTATTCCTCTTTTTGCTTTTATTTAGTTTCAGTAAACATTTTTTTGAATAACTGTTTAATTGCACGTTTAACACCATCATCCGTCAAATTGAGCAAAATTCTCAATTCAACTAAAAAATCAAAATGAACGAAACCAAATCAGCATAGAAATAGTGTTGCAATGCAATTAATAAATCCTCTGGTTCAAGTTCTAAATTCTCTTCTTCTTTTTGATTTTTTTAGAGAACTTGGGACTAATTTACAATCATGAGTATTTATAATATACTTTTAACCAAATTGATTTCCAATTGAGTAAGTTTCGCCTTCACTGGTCAGTGCGATCCGAAATAATTTACATATAAATTCCATCAAAGAGATTACATTTAAATATAATAGTCTACACAGTTGGTCCTTTCGCTTTCATTTAATCGTTTTATATTAAAAATTCAATGTAGATTATAAATAGTCATAAAGTGCAATAAAAACGGCACAATGAAAGTTTTCCGGGGTTATCGTTTCATGAAACACTTACGAAAACGACACTTGCTCCATAAATAAACAGAGAAAATGTGTTTAAAATAAATGAGTCGTTTTATTTTAAATTTGAATGTTCATGGACTGAAGATATTTGATATGAAATTATTTCAACTTTAGTTCATTTGATTTCTTGGTTTCTTTATTATTACTAGTTTCGAAAATGCATAAGCCCATTAAAAATAAATAATTGCTCAAAACTGCTTTAGGTGAAAGCTATTCGGGCGACGTGGAAACAAATTTCCTCCTGAAGTGTCGGGAGCACTAGTGGCTTGCATCTTCGGGAGTGATGCTGAGCCGAGCAAGCCACCCACCTCTGAAGACGCAAGCCACTCATGTACGCGAACGGCAGAAATATTTTTTTTCAATTCAATCATTGTATTGATCATTAATGAACTCTTTACAGATTGTAGCTCTAATCATGCTTGTATCCTGTGTGAGTGCAGGATACATAGGATATGTTGGAGGACATGAAGAACATCCGATCTACGCAGCACCTGCAGTTAAAGTTGAAACGGATTATTACGTAAGTGAAGTTATAGCGTAAATTGTTAAAAGTGTCTCAATTGCAAACAACTCAATGGCATATTAAGCGGAATCTACACCCACACTTAAAAGCCATTAATCAAGCCTTAACAACTCAATAACCGAATCAATATCCATTCTAATTAACATAGCGCCGTGACTGATTGGCGTTTCAAAACCGTTCCAAATCTCCTTAAATCTAAGAGCACGTAAATACTGAGTTTCAATCAATTAGGTAAGTAAACATGAACACCCGCGTCACGAAAATACGGTTCTTGCGGCCACTGTTACACAATACTTTAGGGAGTTTCTGGCCTTATCCGACTCGAGTATCTAAGAATGATTATTGATCTGGGTTAAGTATCACAAATTGCTAATTTATTTTTTCTCTCTTAGTTATGTTCTGTTGGGTTTTTAAGTATCTGACCGATACCCAAAGCGTGATTTTGGAATACATGATTCCAATGAAGGCTGGGCCACCGCTATCTTCAGTCGATCTTGAATATCTTTTTGAATTGCTGGACTTTAGTGCTGCCAATTTCCTGCTCTGTTTTTGTGTTTGAAATGTGTGTCTTTAAATTGCTGTAATTATGTCAAAGCCTCTGATATTGAGTGAGAATGCAGATGAATGTTGCAAATAAATAAATCTTAAACGATCAAGACAAATCCTGAAAAAAAATGGGTTTTGACAAAAAATATTGGAAACAGTAGGGTGAATAGTTTCACCTTCAATGGCCAGCGTATAAACAGTTTACCGAAGAAGTCATGAACGCCGCAGTGCACAATTTCACTCTTTCCATCGGGGATTTGTTTTGCAATTAGTCCATCTAGGCTCATCCTAGCAGTTAATTCCGAAAAACCCAAAGATCGTTTTCAACTCGTTTATTCTCGGAAGACTCGTCTTTCTCGCCCAAACAAGGCAATTTGCCATTTTGAGACCAGCAATTTTCCGAACTTGTAAAATGTGTAAATTTTCTTTAATCTTAATACGGCATCTGCCACTAAACCCAGCAAGTGTGCGTTTTATAATTGGATGGTTTCACTTTTAGACATTATGGCTTTGGTGTGTTCACACTTTTTCTTGTACGTGCAAGTTCATGTGTGGAGCAACGTTTTTATTTGATTGCGCAGTGCTTTTAATTAAGCACGAAGAGGCATTTGCAATAATAGTAACAGTTAAATCAGTGGACCATTTATGACTCACTAAAAGAACTGACTCAGTACTGGAATACCAATCTTGAACAATAAGTGCAGTCGTGTAAACATTAATCTCAAAACGTGCAAGTATGTTAGCGGTTGCATTCATTTGAAACTGATTCCTTACTTTGATAAAATTGAGAAAACCTTCAAATATCCTTTGCAACATTTTTATTTCCCCTTTGAAAGCATGTGTTCTCAACTGTTCTTGTTGAACATATTTGTTTAATTAAAACACTTCAAATTATTTCAGGCACATCCAAAATACGAATTTAAATATGGTGTGTCCGACTTCCACACAGGCGACTACAAAACCCAGGAAGAGACTCGAGATGGGGATGTTGTGAAGGGTTCTTATACTGTGGCTGAACCAGATGGTACCTTGAGAATCGTGCATTATTCCGCTGATCCTCATAACGGATTTAATGCGATCGTTACTAAGGCCGGCAAATCCATTCATCCTGATAATTATGCCAGCCACGAATCCCACTACTTGCAGCATTAGTTCAATTTTGGGTTTTATGTTCTTAGTATTATTTGTATACTGGATATACCTCATAGCGTGTAGATCGCCAGATGTGTTTCATTGATCATGCCATATTTATTTCTGTCATTTAGTTTAATAAATAATTTTTATATTCATTTTATTACTTTATTTCAACCATGAAAGTTGGACTTTATAAAGGTCCTTAGACCGGCGGCTCCAAAGTAGAAATGAACCGATTAACTCAAATGGATTCTCCTGAACTTGTGCACCTATAAAAAAAGATATTCCAGGAGATCAATCATTGGTTCACTTTTTACGCCTTGCATTTATTTTAGACATAAAACGGGGGAAAAGCTTTGGATTTTATTTCAGCTTTATTTCGTCTTCAACAATATATTTATTATTTTCTCCAGTTGCTGTACTTGTCTGACACTCTCAAAGCTGATGAGACTCTTATCTTGACAAACCATATTTTTTCCTTTAGATTTTATAGACATTATATAAATGTAGATACACTATCAAAAGTTTTTCTAAAGCAACAATTTTTTTAAAAATTGCTGAGAAAATAATTCAAAATTATCCATTGCTTATAATATTTTCGTCTAGAAAATCGAGAAATACGGCCTCTTTTGTGCCTAGGCAATAGTTGAGCATTCCACCAGCTTCAGGTTTCGAGATTTAATTTTTTTCAAAAACCAAACTAAATTTTTTAACAACTTAAAAAGCGGTGAACTGGACAATCCGGATAAAGCACAAAAACAGCGTGTAATTGACTGGGACCAGTAGTTTAACTAAGGCAAAGTCATACTACAGGATGACTCAGCTCACCATTAATTAAACTTACGTTTAACATAAATGATTCTTTGTGATACGATACACTTACATTATTTCCTAGATAAAAAGCTGAGGTAAAAGGCTACAATTAACTTCTTCAAACGATTATCTTACTTTTAATGAAAGGAATCAATATATCAGTACGCCCAGTTACACCTTGCCCCTTGTAAAAGTAAAAAGGAAGTTGCTCAATCGCAAGGTCGCATCTGTAATAGGTTTCTGTTCTTGTGCACATACTTAGAACCATATTAATGCCCCAAATAATTTTAATAATCATTCTCTGGTTTTGGCAATAGATCTAGGTAAGCGTTCACGTGTAGAACAAGGCAAAAATGAACGTAATAAATCGCGTTTTTGTTCCCTTGACCTTATTGTATCAAATTGTAGCTGAAAAGCGTGCGGCTACAGGGAAGTTTTGGATAATTACAGCTTCCTAATTGCCAATTCATAATTATGATGGATTCGGTGTTTGTTCGAGGAGCAAAAGATAATGTAACGATTCAACTAAATGATTTGCACACCCGATGAATGTGGTTTCAAAATATTAGCCAGACCATATGCAATACATGGGCAGGTTTTTCGGTGAAATTCCATGGAGCAAAAATTAATATTTCCAACCCAATAGTTTCTCAACTTTTTTTCCAATTATCTAATTCCCAACACAATGCCTTCTCTTTGCACTGGTGGTACCTTGATTTATTCAAATCAGGGGTTTCTCAACCCTAAAACACAATCAGAAATAGCTGGCCTATTGATTGTAGCCATAAAAAGTTAATAAACCTTGGACAATGGATACATTGTGTTTTTTTCTACACTCAATTTGTTGACAAGATTGGCAACGCTTTAGTAATATAATAATGGCTCATCTCGACTTTGGGCGTCGATGTTTTATCAGCAGAATACACATTTGTTATTTAAAGGAAAAGTACAGAAATTGGGATCACATTTTTTCATCTCGTTATTTTTAGAAGCTACCAAATCCTCAGTAATTGTCTCGCGCTCTAATCAAAAGTTACGATGCATTAAAAAACGCCCTAAATTTATGAGAAACGCGTGCCAAAGTGTGGGGGCTAAACATTAATAAAATGTGTTTTACTGCTCCAGGTGGGACGATTTAACATTTTATTGTTTGATTTCCGTTTTTCCTTATTTAGTTATTTTATTTCTACCCTTGATGGCAGCAGCCAGGGATTTGATGTAATGATGATTGATTTGTTGTCTTGATTTAATGGAAGATTTATAGCTTTTCATCCTCTTTTTTATGTCATCAACACAATTGTTCATCAGCAAGTTCGGAATTCTCACTAGAAATATTTTTTTATTTTGCTGCTCACTGTTGTTTTCTATTGTAATTACGTGGCTACCTATAGGTATGCGAAATAGTAGGTGTGCGTCTTATACATTTATTTATTAAGCTATAGTAATTTACATAACATTTATCGCTATGAATTTGGTATTCAGATGACAAACTACACGTTGTCTAATTTAATATTAGGTTTTTTGAGTAAAAAACCATGCCAAATCGACTTTTTTCTGATAAAAAAATGCAATCGAAAAAACGCCTCAGATTGAAGGCCCTGTATATATTTCCTATCCGAAGGCTATTTTTCGAAAGACTAAAAAGCGGTATTTCGTTAAAATATTGATCATTTTCCAGTGTAAATTTTTTTAAATTCTGAACATGTGTTTATAATTGTAATAAATTAAAAATTGTATGTTTTACACATATTTATCTACTTTTTCACTTTTGAGTTCGTTTTTTGTTCACATTTGCGCTCTTCAAATTTGTACTATACGCTATTAATTCAACTTAAAATCCTGTGAGTTTATATATGTTTATATGAGTTATATATTTTTTAATGAACTTTATATATTCAAAATTATATTGGATTATAATGCTCCTTTTTTCGTAGTTGTAATTAGTTAAAAAAAACAGATGGTTGCAACAAAAACAGGAAAGTTAAACAAAAGAAAATATCAAGAAATAAATAAAATGCACATTTCATAACAGCGGAAAAGGTTATTTCATCTTATTAGATAACCAGTAAGCATCAAAAATGTATGCAGAAAATTTAATATTTGAGTCATTATTAGTCGATAAAGAGCTAATGCAGAAGAAAGTTAACAAGAAACAAAATTCAAGTAAATATAGCCCTTCCTGGACCAATTTGCAATGAATTTAAGGTGCTTGACTTCACATGAAATACTTTGTTTCGCCTTTAGCTTTAAGCTCGTTTGAAGCAATATTCCACTAAAAAAATAATAAAACTCGTCAACATAAGAAGCTTTTGTAGGTTCTTCTCGATCTTAATCTAGAGAGTTTTTAAAACGTCATAAACAATTATAATTAAGTAGATGTTGACAAAAAAAATTATTAGAACACATAACACCGTAACATTAATGCAAAACAGCATAAACAAAATTCAACTATCTAGGTCGAATTCCCATAAAATTCAGATGCATTGTCTCAAGCTTTCGAATCGGAATTTGGCTAGGTCAAATGTTGTGGTGGGGCCATTCATTTGCACTATATGGGAAATTATGTTACTATATAAATGGGGCGATATTAACTTAGAGTTACATTCAACTTATTTGAAACGTAACGAACATGTTCTCTAAAGTAAGTAGACATTTATTGTTGGGTTGGTTTTGCTGTGAAGTGCTGATGATTAATGTGAATTTTGGGAGCGGAGTTAATGTGTAGAGTGAAAATTGGAAAATCCGTTCAGAATTAGACGTAATACCTTTTATAGGGTTGCTTCTCATTGCTATTAAAGTGGTCTGGAATAGACGACAGAGTTTACATGAAACTTGAGTTTCCTTTTACAGTTAGGCTGTTTTAATACAGTTAATTTGTAAATGTTTTTTGCAGATTCTTGCCATTGCTACTTTGGTGGCTGTTGCCCAGTCTGGATACGTTGACTATTCCGGAGGTCATGCATCCTCCTACGCATCTGTAGCCGCCCCCGTTGTTGCCGCTTACGCAGCCGCCCCTGCATACTCCCACGGATACCCATCAGCCCACGAAAGCCAAGACTACTACTCCCACCCCAAATACGAATTCAACTATGGAGTCCAAGACCCCCATACTGGTGACCACAAAACTCAGCACGAAGTTCGCGATGGCGATGTTGTAAAGGGTTCCTACACTGTGGCTGAACCCGATGGTACCTTGAGGACTGTCCACTATACTGCTGATGACCACAATGGCTTCAACGCAGTGGTGGAGAAGTCTGGACATCCAGTCCATCCAGCTCCAGCTCCAGCCAAGGTTATTGTTGCCGCCCCAGCTCATTATGCCGCCCCAGCTCATTATGCCGCCCCATCTCATTACGCCGCCCCAGCTCACTACGCCGCCCCAGCTCACTACGCTGCCCCAGCTTATTACCACCATTAAATCCAAAGATCTAGAAAATGATGATAATTGCGATGTGAAGTACCGAACGATGGAGATGTGTGAATTATTTATTATTTTTGTGTATATACCAGAAGCAATTAATATATTTTTGCAGTATCTGCATTAAGTATCTGTCTTTGTTTGGTTTGTAGAATTTTGTTGCAAGTTTCATATATTCAAAAGCTCATTTTGGGAATTGCCGCTTGTAGTAATTTGGGCAACAAATAAGGACTACCGGGAAGCTTGAAAAATTGCAGTTTGAATGCAGTTTCCGCTCAGTTTTTGTAATGGTAGAAAAAAACGATTATTTGAATGACGCAATTAAGGCATCGATTTTCAGATCGACCGATAAGCCAGTGCATTTTATCGAAAGTAAAACTCAACTGTTTTCTCTTAGAAAACACATGGTTTTTCCATGTAAGTCTCCTATCCAGGTGAATTTCGCGATATTTTAAGTTTGCTGCTTGTGGCAGCTGGTAGGACATGCTTCTCTTCCCTTATTAAAAGCTTTGTGTTTGAACTTTGCCTCGCTCGCCCTAATTCGCCATTATTTAAAACAATTTTGGATGCTGTCGAAATTCACTTGCACATTTCGCTTTAATTTCGTCGGGTTCGTATGAGTTGAAAAATGGCCATCAGCAAATGCGGGTAACAAATTTTTAATTAAAAGCAAAAAGAGTAAAAATAACTAAATGATTTGCTGATAATCAAGCGCATCCTAAAGTAGCGGTTTCAAACATATTAAATTAAATGATAAATGAAAGCTGCCCTAGACACGCGTGCAGGAGATATGCCTGAAAACATCTATGTTTTCCAAACATTTGTAGCTGAAAATCGGCAAATACATTTTTTCTGGTTCACTGGCTCGTGTTTCTATTTGATAAATGCTGCTGTTAACAGCCAAATGCATTAAAATATCATTTGCTTTATTACCGCCAGTTTGTTCAAACAAGCCCCAAAATGCGAATTTTGGCTGTGTAATTAAAATACTTTTTCGGTTAAGTACAAATACTCTATAACCGGTCTATTTTGTGCGTTCTACTTAATAATTAAACAAATGGAAGCTCTAACACGTTTTTAAACAATGTATTTTAATAATTTTTTCTCTATTTTTCGCCAAATCATTCAGCTTTTTTCTCTTCTCGCATTAGCACCCTAGATATGTCGGTATGTTTAAGAAACGAAAAAACCATCGGTTTTTGTTGAAAATGCGTGACAAACTTATTCCGTTGTGTCGATGATTAATTATCTTCTTACAAGCAGAATCTCGCCTCAATTGATTTTTACTTTCATAATCGGTCCGAATATGATGCTTTAGCGTTTTAAAATATTTATAATTAAATTCAAAAAAATTGGTAAAGATTTTTTGTTGCTCAATTTTATACATTTGCAATAACTAAATTCAGTGAAAGTATGGGTTGGCCTATGCACAAAATATTGAGTTTTTGATTGACTGTTTGAAAAATAACGGTGTCTAGTGTTTCACTCTTGCGTTTTCTTTTTCAGTGTTCACATCAAATCTTTTCAAGTGTTAACAAGAGGAAGACTTTTCTAAAAGAAATTAAAAAAATGTTTTAGGCGCACATACATTTAAAATGGTTTTCCAGGAAGCCTGTAAGTGTGTTCCAAAAACAATAATACATTGTAAATAAAATTGTATAATTAACTCCATCAGATAGACGAAAGAAGCTTGGGCAACAATATATGAATGATTATATTTAAATAAATGAAGTGCACAAATACCTAGTGGGTTGGCCAGATTGCTCAACATTCATCAACAGCAACCATTTGCTAAAAATAATAAATAATTGCACAATTTAACGACAGATATAGAGTGGAGACGTCGACTCTAAAGGTCAGGACGATGAACCAGCTGGAGGCATTTGAAATGTGGCGCCACAAAAAATGCTTCATATTCGGCCGACAGAACATGTTATACACGAGAATCTGTCACGAAAAGAAAACATTGAAAGACAACTCTTAGCGACCGTAAAATGCTGAAAATGTTCGCATCTTTGGATCTTCGGACATGTTTTTGATTATATTATTAAGATCGTAGTGAGTCCGAAGTATTTGAGACGACTGGCATTAGAAGAGCTTGAGAAAACTTCTTTCATATGGAAGGTAATGAGCTCCCAATTACAGATTCATAATATAGTTTTCTCAAAATATACATTCCATTCAAAATCCAAGCAAAAATGGTTTTAAATTGAAATTTTGAATAATTCTGTATGGAATCTGAGAATTGTAAAAAAAGTCTTTAATTTCATTTCAAGTTCATTCAGATCAGGTAAAAGGAATGGAAAAGATCGGGCAAATTTTGTCAAAACTTGAGACGAGAAGAACGTTTATTTTTGTAAAAACATTTTCGTTTGGTGTTTTGACTCAAAAGATTTGTCTCTGGAAAAAGCAGATTTTCCTCACGTCTTATATTACAGACTCATGTTGCTCTCGTTGCACAAAAAACATGTAAATTTTTTTATCGTTTTCAATAAATTATTTTATTTTTATTTTTAACACATGATTGATTTTCAAACATATAGAACGTGTCTAAGGCTGGACATCTAAGTTTCTACTTTTACCAGAAATAAAAATATTATTCATTCGCAAAAAATGCGGTTTTGGAACATACCAAGATAACGATAGACAGTCGAGTGTTAAACAAAGAATTGAAGCGAACTTGTGAGGCTGGCGAGAGTTGGATTCCAAGGGAATAACACTCAGAAGGTTTTCTGTAGATTTATCAGACTCGATAGTAGAAGAGTTTCTAGATAATAATAAGTTCTCAAACGGAAGTTGCCGTTTGGTAGCTTTTTTAAATGGTTTCCGCTTAGTACGGACCAGAAATTTCCCGCTCAATCCCCTGTCCACGACTTATATTACTCATGTTAAGATTTGAATAGAACTATAAAAAATAAGCTGTATTTTTCTTAGCATCTTACAACATCTAAAAAATGAATTAAATACGTCTTTTGGACAGAATTAATTGTCGAACGGTTAATACAAACATCAGGCTCATTAACAACAGAAGCTGATATTGATCACGATACAAATTGTAACCCAGAGCGGTAAACCCACGAAACAATATATCTGGGTCAAATTTTCGGATCAGTTAAAATACTTTCAAATCGCAATTTTGTTGAGGACAAGTAACCGAAAAAATTATGGAGGGGTTATCAGTTCACACCTTGTGGGTTGTATTCAAATAACATATAAAAAGGTCCAAAGATCTAGTTTAGGTATAGTTGAATTTAATACATCGCTAGAAAATGTTCACCAAAGTAAGGGCAGTGTTTTGTGTAAAACCCCAACTTAACTTTTCTGTAATTGCAGGTATTTGCCGTTGTTGCCTTTGCAGCTGTAGCTCAAGCTGGCTACGTCGACTATGGGCATGCTTCAGCTTATTCTTCAGTATCAGCCCCTGTAGCCTCATACGCCGCTCCATCCATCCCTCTTCCTTACTCTCAAGGGCCCGCTTATGACAGCAAAGACTACTACGCTCCTCCCAAGTACGAATTCAACTACGGAGTTCAAGACCCCCATACTGGAGACCACAAGAGTCAGCACGAGATCCGTGATGGAGATGTCGTTAAGGGCTCTTACAGCGTAGCTGAAGCTGATGGAACTTTGAGGACTGTCCACTACACTGCTGATGACCACAATGGATTTAATGCAGTAGTTGAAAGGTCTGGACACCCTGTTCAGCCTGCTCATGTTCCAGCACCCGCTAAGCTCGTAGTAGCTGCTCCTGTTCAGTATAAATATGCTGCACCTGCTGCACCCCAATATTACCACCACTAAATAGCTGTGATTGGGTGGTTTCACATTGAAAATACAGATTTTGCCATAATATTCCTCAAATTTTGTAAGGAAGGTTTGAAGCATGGATTCTCTTATTGTAGGTGTAGTTAATTTATTGCAAATAAAAGTTTAATTGATAACATATTTGTTTCACTTTAGTCTAGCGGTCTTTGAATGAACATTTTGCTTTTGCTGCTTTAGAAAATATACATAGTAAAGTGTATAGAGTATTTAATTTTATTGGGACAAAGACTCTTAATGGATGCGTACAGTAAAAAAAAAGTCTGTCGGTTAATATGGTTGGACAAAAGCTGAGTATTTGAAAACCCAATGGTTTATTTTAGGTCATATTTCTGTACGACATATATAAAATTCATTCATTCATCAAGTTTGTAAAGACTGGAAATACAAACGCGCCTTAAATTGAGTTGTTACTGAATAACTCAAATTTGTGTAGGAGGGTGGCGCTATCTTGCAAAGCTCCTATTTATCCTGTTTTTTTAGCGTTGAATTTTGCTAATGGGTTTGCAAGTGTATAATGTAAATCGGTCCGCTTAACTTTATCGGCTTCTAAAGTACAAGCTTTTGCTTGATTATGAGATATTTTTTCTCAGTTAGTAAATTGAAGTTTTCTATGTACCTTAGAGAAAGTTTGAGTTTTTATTTAAACTACTTTTTGAGCTTTGAATGATTTCAAATGTATGTTCAAGTGTCCAATATATCTTAGGGTGCTTCTAAGGTAAAGAACACTTGAAAAATCAGTTTCTCATGGATTTGAACGATTTTTCAATTCGCGGATTGATAGTTACTAGAAACTCTGGTTCCTCCCCTATTCATTTCGAGTTTATCTTTGTTCCGATATTCAAGTTTTGATATTTTTCAAATAGGTGTGCAAGTATTGAAACAATTTTCTCTTAAGCTTCTTCAAGTTCTTACCGGTTCTGCTTTTTGAATTTTTAATCTTTGAAAATGAGTGTTTTAATTTTTTTATGAGATGGTACATTGTAAAGAGTATTCAGTGGAGCAAAAATTGATCTTAAACTATAAGCGTGATGAAAACATTTTTCTCCTAATTTGCAGTAAAATGTATAATTTTCACAACATTTAGTTGGGAATAAGCTAATTATTTGGAATTTCTTTACCTGGAATTTTAGCGATTTTCTCAGGTCATATTCATGTGTCTTGATATTCTAGAAAAATCATTCAACATCAATCTTTTAACGACGGAAGAACAAACGCGTTTTAAATTGAGTTCTGACTAAATAACGTGACTTTTTAGCTTTGAAATTTTGCAAGTGTCTACTGCATCGCCAGTCCGCCTAAACTTATCGGTCTCTGAAAAAATTGCTTTTGCATTGATATTAGCAATTTTTTCTTGATTTGAAGATTGATGTTTTCTACGTGCTCGGTAGAAATTGCAAGTTCTTACTTGTCCTGATTTTGGAACTTCAAAGTTTTATAAATAGGCTTGCAAGTGCCTAGTTTATCACGTTTCGGTCTAAAGTCAAACTTTAGTAAAAAACCCTTTTTTGTATGAATTTCAGTAATTGTTTCTACATTCGCAGACTATTCCATTTACTCTCGTTCTTGAGATTTCAATTTTTGAAAATTAGTTGCGAAAGTATCGTATATATTTCGAGGCGCCCAAAAAAATAAGGTTTTGCCTGCATTTGCGACATTGTTTTTCCATTTGTATACTGTTTTCTGTATAAACTGTATACATTTGAAGTTACCGGCAATCCAAGCTTTTGAGCCCCGAATATTTAGAAATCGGTGTACAAGTAGGTATCTAATATATCGCAAATCCGCCTAAGGTGAAAGGCGTATGAAAATTGAGGTTTTATCTGGAATTGAGCAATTTTTTGTCAATGTATAGACGTATATATTTGCTACGCGTACTGTAAAACTTGCAAGTTCCTATTGGTTGTAGGATTTGAGATATTCATTTTTGCAATGTTTTGTATTTTTCGTCTTTTGTACATATCTTATAAAAATAATTCAGAAACCCTTTTTGTCATGATGAAGCGAATAACTTACGTTTTTCCCTTTAAAAAATACTAAAAATTATAAGCATTTCTTCACACGTTGTTATAGAGTCACAGGAAATATAAACAACTTAAATTTTCAACAGAAATCTCGGTAGAAAACATGGTAAAATGCAACTTAACTGCGATGACGGAACATATGCAAGGGCAGTAAAAGAACAATAATAAAGCTGCTGCAAGTACAGCTGGATAATTGGAGAAAGTATGATTTGTTTCACTAGCAATATACAGACCATCAAGCATTTACTTGCAGTTAGTAGCAGTCGATGAAGGACAATTACAGTCAAAAGGCGATTCGTGGAAAATATGATTATTCTTGCAATTTGCGCTTCAAGATGGTAGGTATAACTTGAAGAAAGTCTCGTAAAAATTAAAATCTTTATTAAAAACAATAAATAAATAAGTTTTCCCTAATTAGTTAGCACTTAATGATGGTAATATTGAGCAGGAGCGGCGTAGGCAGCTGGGGCAGCTACAACAACTTTGTGGGCAGCTGGAGCTGGATGTACTGGATGTCCAGACCTTTCAACTACTGCGTTGAATCCATTGTGGTCATCAGCAGTATAGTGGACAGTCCTCAAGGTACCATCGGGTTCAGCCACAGTGTAGGAACCCTTTACAACATCTCCATCACGGATTTCGTGTTGACTCTTGTGGTCTCCGGTATGAGGGTCTTGTACTCCATAGTTGAACTCATACTTGGGAGGAGCGTAGTAGTCTTGGCTTTCAGCATGTCCATGGACTGGTACTGAAGCGTAGCCGTGATTGACCGATGGGAGTTCGAAAACTCCTGCTTGGGAAACAGCTACAAGAGCTGAGACGAAGAAGATCTGAAAATTGAAATAAATGAGCACTGAAATTTGTTTGGGCTGGAAACTTATTTACCTTGGCGAACATTTTTGATTTGGTTGATTTGGCTGTTTCAGCTTCAGTACTGAACTGACGAATAAATGACCCGGTCACACTTTTATATCAGACATTTAACCTAGACATTCACCAGACAAAAATGCGTAACTATGCTAGTTCTATGCGATAATCGTGTAAGAAAGAAATTGAAAGTGTTGTAACCATTTCGGAATGTGCTCTAGATTTTCTGATAAAATGTGGGTTATATTTTTCTTAATTGACCACTGCTATGCAATTTTTTTGAAACCTTAATTGATATGGACATCTGTCTTTCGACATTTTGATTGCAATTAAAATTAACGAATTTTTGAAAAGATGAAATTTCATATTTTGTTGTTTTTAGACAATGATTGCGATGATTTTGAACATTTTTATTTAAATGTATTTATGGTTTCATTCAATTAATTGTGCTTTCAATTCTAATATTAATTAAAAATGTATTCACAAGGCAAACCATTTTTTCAAATATTTTGACGACATAAATTAGTAATTAAATTTTAAATATCTAAAGACACACAAAACGAAATTTCCCAAATGATGCCTAATAATTATAGACAGAATTATGACAAAATTTAAGTTCGCTATGCACAAACCACTCATAACAAAATTAAAGTTTGCTATTGAGCACATATTTTGCAAATGTGGTTTGGAACGATCAAAAACATTATCTTCAGAAAACTCCCACGTAGAAACATCTTAACGTGAAAATATTGACTGCTCCTCACAAATATTTTCTCAATAGGCATCTTTTTGAAATTTCTTAATTTTTCATTTTTCACTTTTCTTCGTAACAAAGCTTTTATTATTTTTGTCTTGTGTCTCGATTTACTACTTAATATTTTAATATTTTATTTAAACAATCTGTTATCCTGCTTCTATCTCAAATAAGTAATAATGTAATTAAATCACTAATATCTAGAGAATTTACTACGATCCTAATATCTCTTTTAATTGATCTTCTTATAGATTTTTTTGAACTCGCCATACGCTTCAATCGCTTTGCACAAAAAAGGCGTTTCATGCAAAGATCAAAAACTATTCACAAATTTGCCGTTTAGTAGTCATCATCGAAACAGTGTTTATTTTTTGATTAGGATAACGATATAAACCTAATTTAGTTGGATTGTTAGTGAAATAAATAATCGCGACTACGAATTGTTCATAAATTGCCTCACAATGGGACAGAAAAAAAATAGAAACTAAATACAAAAAAAACCGTACAAGTAACTGGGTAATTTTAATGTATGCGAAATACATTGTCCAGTCAAATTGAAATGTGTGTTGAAGATTTCCGCAAATTTTAAAAGAACGACAGAAGCTCAAACGATAGGATTTTTCAGGTGGGATCATTTCAACACAAGTTTTAGATTTCTCTCTTATATCAGAAAATTTAATTTACGCAACCCTTCCAGCTTTTTTTAGAACTTTTCAAGAGAGTTTTGATTAAAGTTATAATTTCAAATTGTTTATTTATAAAGCTTATTCCAAATCCAATAAAAGTAATTCGTGGAAGTTAGCCTTTAGTAAGCAGTATTTCAAAAAAAATCAGGAAATTGAAAGTCATTTTTGTCTTGCAAAAACTGATGTAGTTTGCAAAGTTTCACTTCTTCCATCATGCCGTATGGGACCAAATAAATGAAGCAAATTTCTAGACAGTTCGGTGTAGGGAAAATAATTCCAACAATGCGACGCCCAAGTGAAAAAATATTTTTGGGGGTTTTTAATATAAAGGAAAAATTCGGGTTGATCGAGGCAGTGAATACATTTGATGCGACGCTTGAGTATTTACCGATATAGCCAATATTAAAAGGGATTTTAAATTACATTTATTTATTTGTTTAAGCTAAGAAAATAAACAGAGGCTGCGGCCAGATTTGGGTGGACCTAAGTCAACAAAACTGGGGGACTTTTGGAAGCAAAAGCTTCAAAGTATTCTGAAAATGAAAGGGCAAATTCCTCAATTTGCCGCCTCCAAAAATTGCGCTGCATCTCGGCAACTTTTAGCGCTAATTTGAAGTATTTTTATGCAAATATCGATGAATATAATATAATAATTGTGCGAAAAGTGTTCAGATTTAATTGTGGAAGTTTTCAAACAATTAAATGTTTATTAATGACGTGACTCCAAAAGAAATAAATTTCCACTCGACTTGAAATATAATCGCAAAATCCCCAGCATCAAAAGAGCTTCATGGAAAATAAGCTCTAAAATCCTGATTGGAGTTCTCTATCATAACACCCATTACTGCATGGAAAATAACGAGGCTGGAAGTAGAAACCGACTGTGCTTTTATCTACCGATCATTGATAAAGCTATGAAACAGTGTATGAAAAATCCGACGTCCAAAAAGAGCTTTCATTTTGAAAGGGTGATAAGAGCGTCATTTTAATTTTCCTGTTTGTTCTGGTTAATCCGAATGACTAGCGAGCGGTCACTTTGGGTCAATTGGAGTGCAAGCTTTCTATTAAAAAATGGCACTTTCTACTCAAAAACCAGCACGAATTTAGTTTGTTTGTTTATTGATTAAGGATGCGTTTCAAATATACAGTCAGAAATATTGATATTCTAAAGAGAAATTTGCGTTCTGTTCATTATAACAAATCTTTAGTGTTGATTTGAGTTAGTTTGGATTAGAGCGCATTGAAATACACAGTCACGCGTCATTTTTGCCCTAATTTAAACGGTTTTTGAGCGGTTGCATTGTTCAATCGACGACGTTTTCTTTGGAATTTTATTTGATTGGAAACAATCCATTGAGAGCAAAAAGCTCGCAGGTGTAGTTTTAATTTTAATCGCAATTTTTGAAAGGAGTTGAAGTCGATTTTTTCAAAAAATATTTAGCCCCTCAAAATTTTTCGAAGTAAACATTATTTTTATCCAAGAGAAGCAAGGCAGGATTACGTAGTATCGACTTTTTGGACCATTTCAGGACACAATTTTGAGCGGTTGTGATCTTTAACCGACGATATATTTCTTATTATTGACCCAAAATATTTTGTACATGGCTATTAAAGAATTTCCTAAGTAGGCAACAATCGATTAAGCAAAAAAAACAGTATGTTTATGTTACTTTTTGACCCGAAACTTCATAAGTGCTTGAGGTCGATTTTTTCAAAAATATAAGTTATGTTATTATTTATTATATTATAGCATTATGTATGTCCAAGAGAAGCGAGGAATGCTATTAGCCAATTGGAAAGTACTCTAGAAGCTTCAGTTTCAAAATAATAGAAATTTTTGGTTCATTTCAAACCGTTTTGAGTGATCGCGATTTTTAACCGAAGAAACATTTCTTATTATTGGCCCAAATACTTTGTACATACATATTTGGAAGCATCTTACGTCGGAAACAATCGATTGAGATAAAAAAAACCGGGATGTAAATTTTTTTATTTTTGACCCAAAATTTCATCAGTTTAGGTTGATTTTTTCGAAAATATAAAGTTTCTTAAAAAGTATCTAATTTTACATCTTTTTGTCTAAGAGAAGCGGGGAATGCTATTAGCTTAATCAAAAACAATCCAGAAACTTGAGATCATAAATAATCGCCATTCTTGACCCATTTAAAACAATTTTTGAGCGGTCGCAATACTGAACTGACGATATATTTCTTATAATTGATAAAAACACTTTATGCATGCATACTGGGAGCTACTTAGGGCGCAAAGAATCGAATGAGCTAGAAAACGCATATGGAAAATTTGCATTTTGGACCCAAAATTGTCTTAGGAGTTGAAGTCGATTTTTCAAAAAACATCAATCCCCTCAGAATAGTTCACATTTTACATCATTCTCAACATAAAAAAAAATAATTTTGATCCATTTTAAGCTGTTTTTAACTGGGTACTATTTTTAAGCGACAATCCCTGATTATGGACTCAAACACTTTATATGTTTTACGGATAAGCATTTTATAAAAACACAACGTAACATATTATATGTTATAGGATTCTTCTAATTTATTAATTTTTTTCTTCTATTTTTTTGTAATTGTCTCCTTTCTGTCTTCAGATTTCTGTTTTGCCGTTCAAACCTGAGATTACATATTTAGTTGATTCAATTCATTGCTATAAAAGAAAAAAAAGCACAGCCAAAATGCACACAAAATGTAATTTCGAATGCTCGTATGTAGATGTAAGAGGTCTGAAACAATTTGAAATAATTTTTCAAATATTATTCAAGACAGTGTCTCCAAAAAACTACAAATAATCTAAGTAGTCAGCTTCGGAAAATTGATGAAATATTTTAACAATTTTTCAGCAAATGTTAAAAACGCAAAATAGTTCCATTGAACTTTTGAAGATTAAGATGAATGAGTTCCATCCAGTACCATTAAAACGCTCTTCTGTAGACCCAAAGTTTTTTACATCTAAATAAATATTGCCCCTAAATAGCTGAGGAAATTGAGGAACTACACATGAGGCAATATTTTTTTTGAAAAATTTCAATCATTAATAATATGGCGCCTGTAAATACGCGACCGTGAAAACAAAATGACATCGCAGCTTGTGCGCTCCAGTATCTCCCGTGTTCTGTAATCGTTCGGATGGCATGCGAGGGTGAGTATCAACGGACCTCAAAATGTGCTGTGCGATCTCGATTTAAACTGGATATTTTTGGCGCCAAAAAATTTTGAAAGCCGGAGTTTCAGTGGTTTGCACGTTCCGGTGCATAATTTGCTTGAACTGCAAGCCCAAGTGTTGGATATTGACTTCTGCGTAAGTTTCCAGATTTATTGCACTTTTTTAAATTAATGTTAAAGATTCACGAAAATTGGTTTAAACGTATTGAGAAGGCTCTTAATTTGCCTAATCTGACGAGGATTGTTAAGGCGGTATTAATCAATCAATGGAGTAAAAACATGGAAATATTTTGAATCGACAAAAAATCGACACTGGCAGAATATTTCATTAAAACATTTTTTATTTCAATTGAAATTATTCAAAACTCAACCTCTACTGAATGTCGAGCTGTTCTTAACCTGAAATGATCATAAAAGTTGGAAAATTTCAACGGAACCCAAAACAAAATTAAATTACATCGAAAACTTGCCAGGCTTTTACAAAAAAATATATTAGTATTGTCGAGCAGTTAAAGCGTTTTTCCCTAAATTCAAGTATAAAATAATAAACATATTTAGAATCTTTTGAACGTCTCGAGAACGACAAATTTTATATTGCTGAGTTTGAAAGGACAATTAGAAAGTATATAAAAAATTCCAGAACGGTCCAAGTAAGGAAAGCTGAGAATATTTAGAAATATATTTGATGCTGAATTTCAGGTTTATAATACGTTTTCTGTATAACTAATTTTTTTAATTTCTTTGTTTAGGCCTCTAGAATTTATAAGTTATTTTCATTTAATAAAAATATTAATTAACTTAGACATAATGTGTTATTACCCATTTGCTATCAATGCTTGTAGCACTTTAATTAACTACATCTTCAAAATGATGCAACACAATTTATGTTTTTTGATCTGTTCATGAACGATTTTTAATTCCGTGTTAAAAAAGACTCAGGTAATCCGACCTGGTTCTTTAATTAAATCAGCAACGGAAAATCCCTCTTCCTAAGTAAATAATCTGCAGTCGAACTTTATGCTTTTTATTAATTAGCATCCAAGGAAATATAAAATATTTAAAATTCATCAGGCTGGATTATTTGGATTTTACAAGTTACCTAGCTCATCTCTCAATTCTCGCAATTTATCAAAGTTTAAAAATAAAAAGCTTGGAATAGGCGGTTAAGAATGTTCTTGATTTCGTTTTCCTAACGTGTGTTCATTAATCTAAACATAGTGAATTATAATTTATTGATGCACATTTCATAACCCGTGTGTTCTTTAATCGAATAAAGTTCCAATACAGTATAACGAAAAAAATATGCAAGTGTAAGTGGCTAAAATTTCTTGAAATTCCTCTATATACATGTGTAGTGTAATTCTGCAACAAGTGTAATTGAAATACAAATCCAATCGAACAGTAAATTCACTTATTTGGTTTTGCATGTTAAAATCTGACGAAAACTCAGTTAACTGCCCAAACAATTTGGAAAGCAAATTAGTATCAATTTATGCCGTTTCTAAATGAGAATTCTTACTCTTAGTCTTAGTCTGAGTCTTATAACTCCCGTTTATGCAGTCTTTACTGTGGCGTTCTAAAAATGCAATTAAGGCTGAAGACCCTATTTCGTGCGGTAGGTTATAACTTTTACGTTACTAAAGCCGTCAAAGAACCAGAGGGGCCGCTAGAAAAGATTTTCTTCCCATTAAGAACTTAAAAGGCGTAATGGACTCAAAGCGACCCTCCCTGCTTCGGATGCTACAAGACTTTCAAGTGTATTTGATAAAAAATGGATAAATAAAAGATCAGTTCGATTAGAACTTCAAAATTTTCTGTTTGAGTTTTTCATAAAAATTCTGCTAAGCACGTTTCTCATTAAAGAAATTAATTTGGAAATTTTACATGACGAAAGAATCCTTAAAACTCTGTGTAAATTTGATTATATATATTTAAAACGCAACATGTGAACACTGCTCTGCTTCAGATTCTGTTAAGCTTCTTGTCACTAAAGGCACTTTGCATGCAAATATGAAATTTTCTATCTAGCTTGAAGATACACAATATCATTTCGGTGCAAGAGGATCTGAAAAATTATAATATGGCCAGTCATAAACATCAGTAGAAAATGGTTAATAGTACGTGTGTCTAGTTTGCTGTTATCATACATACAAAAAAGCTATTTGTCTGCTGAATTTTGATTAATGGCAACATGAGCCAGCCAAGGGTAATTGCCACATAATCACGTGATATTTTATCATCCGAATAAATTTGGATGGGTTCTGAATTTTTTTATTACTCCATATTGACTTTGTTGCTTCAGACAGGTTTTAGCTGGAAGCTAGAATTTTTAGAAATACGAATGCAAATCTGAGCCATTCTTTAGCAAACAGAAACTCATTAATTACTTCATTTATAATGTTTTCTTCGTGCAGTAATTTAAGTTTATGTTGAAGATCTTTATTGGTCTTTTCCTTTTTAGCAGTTTCTTCAGTAAGTGAATTGAATAAACAGTTTAGTGAATCTCGCGAGCTCAATTTTCTGCTAGTTACTTTTTGAAGCTTTTATCCATCAGGGCCAAAAATAGTAAGAAACAAAGCGTTGATGATAAAAAAGCGCAAACAATTAAATTAGGCCCAAAAAAGCTTGAAAACCTGGACGTTTGATATTCTTCACAGAAAACTAGATAAAGCTAATATTACAATTTTCTAATCATCCCATTATGTAATATTAATTAATTCTTAATTCGACAAAGAACAGTCAAGATAAGATAAAATGCAGTACAATATATTGATGTCGTTATCATTTAATGTTAGACCCGAATACTTCAGTTAAATGCTCCAAATAGAAATAATATTTCAACAAAGTACAACATCTGCAACATTGCGGTTTAAAAGTAATATAATTGGGCCTCTATCCGGCTAGGAGATACACAATGCTATAAGCTCTAAAATGGCAAATCCCAATTTCAGCCGAATGGTCCTGGCAGCCTTACATAAAACAGGAATGACAAAACTTGCTTAGCACGCATTGAATACACATGTGTTTTTGATAGGACAATAAAATCTCCAACATAGTTTAAGTAAACCGCAATTGATCCTTGTGGCGCCCAAATTTACTTGGACCAAATTTACTTGGACCTTGTCCGGAAATGTGCATATTTACTTAAGGATTTTGCAAAACTGAAGCAATCTAACATTTATATGCTCACTGATGAGTTCAATTCGATCGTAATGGCTCAAGGCTGTGACTTTTTCGATTTAAAGCGATAAATACTCAACTTTTCAGCGGCTTTTCGAAATCCCAACAGATCCCTTCACGTTTACGACCAATAAAAATTGAAAAGAGGGTTTTCTTCGAGGATTTACGATTCGGACTTCCAATGAACTATTTATAAGAGGGCTGTTTTGTGAATTGGTGGCACTATTGAGACACAATAGCTTAATTCGCTCCAGGCGAAAAATATATTTTGGACAAGAGTTAAAGCTCAATCAATACCCAAACGGAAATTGCATGTGCAGCAGATTTATATGCGAACAAGTGTGCCAGTTGGACACCGTTCAAATGTCCTTTTTGTAAAACTTGGCCAAAACACACATATAATGAAAGATTTAGTGCTTGCCATCCAGGGATCTTTTCAGACCAAATATAATTATCTTCACAAAGTACTTTTAAATGTTCATAGGAAAAGATTAAACAAATCGAGTAACTAATTGTAAATTTTGTTTTGAAGCTTATAGGAATATTTGCTCATTTCAGTCTCGTTCAAGCAGTATCGCATTTTTAGATCTTCCCGAATTCATGGGTGGGCAATTTATTAGGGTATCCACATTTCTGGAAATATATGAGCAAATTTCCATAGAAATCGCGCTTCATAAACAAATACTTTGGTCGATATAGTTCGGTTGTTTTTCAAGTAGCAAAAAGACTAAGTCGGAATATATGCATTGGACGAGCGGGTTTAAATGGCGCAACATAAGTTTAAGCTTTTGGGTCGGATAATGCGGGAGAACAATAGGAAAATGTGTAGATTCAAGTGCAGCAAACGCACTGGCAGGCGGTCCATTTGTTCCTTTCTACTGAAGTGTTTCTGTGAAATCTTGGCTTTAAGGAGAAACTATCAACTTCACCTGTAATTTTCTAGCATTTGGCCTCAACTTAGACAACTTAGAAGGAAGGTGAATATTTGAAAATATTGCAAATTCCAGAGTACAGAAAACATACTTCTGAACTTCGCTTCCTTCTCCAAACGTTGTTTCAAGTAAAAGAAGTGGCGGAAGCCATCACATTCCACTCTGTGTCATGTTGGAGATGCAAAATTTAATCCCTGTCGATGTCTAAAACTGGGGGTGTAGAGAATATCCTTCACATCAAGAAGTTGTCAAGACTGTTCTGATGAAATGGGGAAACTTTTGCTTTTTCAAAAACTTCTCCAGCCCAGCTTAATGTGCGGGTGAAAACATTGAAATCAAAATAATTATCAAAGCTGTTTCATTTCGGGCATACTCGACAAGCACTTTGGAATTAGCAATTTTTTACTTTTAATCATCAGAGATGCTCTCTTAGCTATGCAGGATAATTTGAGGTCCAATTAAAAAATAAGCAGAACAGTGGGAAACAAATTATATTTTTCTGCTTAAAATTGCGATCTCATTTACTTTGCTAAGTGCTAAGTAAATTAAGTTTGTAAGAGAACTGTAGTTGAATTAATCAAATGAAAAAAGTGTCTACTCGAGAGAAGCTAGAAGATTGCAAAGTTCTTTGAAGTGACAAATTTCTACAAACTTTTTAATTTTTCTTTAATACCCAGTTTCACCAGCTTATTTTCTTAGATTTCCTCCAGGTTGTTTAGAAGGAAGCTTCCAATATTGAGGAAACTAATGCGACTGCCTATAGAGCAATTGAGCCCTTAATGGCTGATGCTCACTTGGCTGTTTGCTAGATGAATATCTATGTAAATTTGCTTAACCTGCTTGCGCTTTTCGATATAAAACAGTCTGAAGATTTCCATCGCAACTAAGTTTTAGAAGTTCTTAAGATTGCATTTTATTCTTGTCTGCTTTTAGAACAATTTTTTTCCTAAAAAATGTATGTATTTTTGCTTTTTGTGTATAGACGAACTAAGTGCTTTGGAAACTTTATTGGAAAGAAAACTTT